GCTTGTTAGAAATCACACGTAATCTTAGGCTCTGAAAATCCTCTTCATGATAGTAATACTTCTTTATAGATCCATATTTGACTGTTTTCAAATATGTTGGGTGTTGAATAAACCAAGCCGTACAATACAATGGCCACTGGCAATTCTGTAAACGCCTATTCTTATAATTTCTTCCCAGCTTAAAACAGAATAGTAAACAATATACAGTTAATATTCGGAAAAAATTTAAATTTTTTTTTTTTCAGATATCTCATGACATCCTGTTTACCATATTCCATTTCGCACGCAGCAGCATTCTTGCAGGAGAACCATATATACACTACTAGATTTTAGGATGATTTAAACCTAGTCTCGTCTAAATTCTTGGCGACTTCAGCCCCAACTGGTGGCAACACGGGGCTACTCGTTTCTTGCCTCTGAACACCCCCACAACTAGTAAAAAAAAACACACGAATAATGGCCGCGCACTGACGCAGTCATTTGTTACAGCTGGCTGCCACAATGCGAGGATACTCCCTAGAGTTACACACAGCCACAAAATACAGTATTAAGAAGCCATTAGTGTGCTGTAACCCCCTTCCTACTTCGAGTTACAGAAGCTTTCCACGTGGCTGAAACATAACGCTCAGCGTGTGTGAATATAACAACACTATAAGTAGGAATGCCATGATTGTGATATTCCCTCACATATGAATCTAAAGTTGCTCAATAATTCTTCTTTAACGACACGTCAGATTGCAGGATAATAGTGTATTATGAAGAGGACGCCATATTGTAGAATAAGGGACGTGAAGTTACAGATCCGCGCATTCGCGAAACTCCCAAATTTATATAAAGTCTTGAACTTTTATGTGTTACTTCAATTTTTTTAAGAAAATATCGGAAGTTTATTGAGACTATACACAGCAGCATGCATAAAAGGCCTAATAACATAATCGCTCTTAAATTTGAGAGCAACAACTAATTTTTCGTTGTCAGAATATTGTAAATTAAATTCGATTTTATTGCCAGATACAGTTTAACTTTCTCATAGTACAATT